GGATCCATCTAACTTAGGCAAGTGATTTCAAAATGGTTTGTGTTAGAACTGATGATCCATCTAACTTAGGCAAGTGATTTCAAAATGGTTTGTGTTAGAATTAAGGATCCATCTAACTTAGACAAGTGAGTTCAAAATGGTTTGTGTTAGAATTAAGGATACATCCAACTTAGGCAAGTGATTTCAAAATGATTTGTGTTAGAACTAAGGATCCAGCTAACTTAGGCAAGTGAGTTCAAAATGGTTTGTGTTAGAATTAAGGATCCAGCTAACTTAGGCAAGTGAGTTCAAAATGGTTTGTGTTAGAACTAAGGATCCATCTAACTTAGGCAAGTGATTTCAAAATGGTTTGTGTTAGAACTAAGGATCCAGCTAACTTAGGCAAGTGAGTTCAAAATGATTTGTGTTAGAACTAAGGATCCAGCTATTTTAGGCAAGTGATTTTAAAATACAAAAATAATTTGATTTTAATGCCCTTGTTTAATTGAAACCTTGACATTTTCTTGTTTTTATAGGTAATTATTTTGTTACAGTCTAATACATAGCTTTATTTTCACCAATGTCTTTCCATTACATTTTGATAGGAAAGTTTTCTGTTTCATTAACTTAACAAATGTTTTAAGAAACTGTCTAGTAGTTCTGAGTGGAAATGCAGTCAGAAAGTTTTAATAGTGGCCAATGTTAGCTATTAGTTATTAAAAAAATGTTGTATATAGTGAATGAGTCCATGATGTATCTCTGCAAGTAAACTTAACAGTAATTAAAGACAACTGAGTGTTGTATATGTTTTAGTAGTAGGTTTTTTCCTCCATCATTGTACTTGAGGATACTGTTTGTCAATCAGACCATGAAACTATTCTACTCATAATTTTCTATCTCAATAATATGTGTAAAATGCAATTAAAAATAATTTAACTCATAATTAAATATATATGTGGACAAGCAACTCTTGTTCATACAGTTTTATAGGCTGTTCAGGGCTTTTGAGAATCGAATTAATTATGTCTGGTATTTATTGATGTTGTGTGATACTAAAACTTGGTCTAAATATAGTACACACTTCTTATTCCATTTCTGGGTTTTAATACACGCTTCTAATTCCATTTCTGGGTTTTAATACATGCTTCTAATTCCATTTCTGGGTTTCAGTACACACTTCTAATTCCATTTCTGGGTTTTAATACATGCTTCTTATTCCATTTCTGGGTTTTAGTACATGCTTCTAATACCATTTCTGGGTTTTAATGCACACTTCTAGTTCCATTTCTGGGTTTTAATACACGCTTCTAATTCCATTTCTGGGTTTTAGTACATGCTTCTAATTCCAGTTCTTGGTTTTAGTGCACATTTCTGATTTCAGTTCTAACAATATTTCGTTTATTTATTATACACACATCAAATATAAAGCTCTCTATTGTTAAATTAGTGCTGTGCTACAACAGGAGTTGAATCCCTACATTTAGCATTATAATTCCACAAGTGTATGAGTGATATACCAACATAGTAAGGTTTCATTTTCATTACTTTCTTAAAAGCACAGTGGTTGTATTTTAGTGTAAATGGTGTTGATTAAAACAAACGTGAATCACTAAAATAAATGTTACATTTTTTCCTGCTTCCTGGGAAAACATTTCATAATACTATGGGGATGTTTCTGTAATTAAATAAACAAAAAACAGGAGCTTAAGTTAATATGTTATAGAATAATTAAGTTTATCACTTAGTAATGAAAGCATAAGAAACAAAAATACAGAAGATACTGAAATATTCCCAATAAATACAAACCAATAATGTTCTTTAGACAAAGAAGAAAGGAGTCTTCTTGAGAATTTTTTAAACCACTGGCAGCAAATGAGCTGTTTTAAGAGAACTTGAGCATGTTTCTCTAACTAAGAGGGGGAAACAAATACAAAACAGTGGCTTAAGTGAATATTTTATAAAACAATGAAATAGAATGCTTGATACAGAAATATTAAGAAGGTGAAATACATAAGAAAAAACCTAAGAAGGTCGAAACATTATTCTTGTACTTTATTTAAAGTTTTAATACCCATACCAGCTGACTCTGCAATACACTAAAACTAAAGAATTATCCCTATCATCACTACTTTGGTACTTAACAAGTAAAAAATGCTTTTCAAAAAAGGAAGTAAATAGAGGGATGGCTAATATAAATCCTTGAAAAACAATGCAAAAAAGATAGTAGGGATGGCACTTGCATCATTCCAACATAATAGCACAGGCACATAGTGTAGTAGAATGTTAACAGACAAAGGTAGGATAAATTAAAATCAATTGTGATTGAATAGTTATATGTATTGTTATATGTTAATTCTTGTCTGTGCTATTAGGTAGGGATGATGCAAATGACATCCCTACTATCATGTTTGCATTGTTTTTGAAGGATTCATATTAGCCATCCTACGTTTACTTCCTTTTTTAAAAATTTTTTCTTTACTTTGCTTATTTTTTCTAATGCAGTATTTCAACAGACATAGGAAGATTGTATTTAGAACCAAGTTCTAAATACAGTAAGATTCTAACTGTAATATTTATTGTTTACCTATTATTGGCTTGTAATTCCTGTTTCACCCTGTACTTAAGCTTTTTGAAGAAACACAAAATTTCTGTTATTAAGCTAACTTCAAGAGGTATTGATAACATTGTTTGCACTAGAATTATGATTTTTTTTTTAAATTACTACCAGTTAATAATACTTATAAAAGTGGATACTCCGTTTGAAACTATGTCACCTCAGTGAAATTGTTTTGGTTTTTGAGTTATGTAATAAAATGAAGCAGAAGAAAGAAGAACAAGAAATTCAAACTTTTTTTCTGTGATATTTACAAACATTCCCAGAACTTGACTCAACCACTACATAGATATTGTTATAAAAGGAAACACTGTATAGTATTGTAAAGTTATGATGACCTATTGAGGAGATATTTAAAATAACAATTCAATAAACAATCCGAGCCAGCCTTATATAGGCAGTGCTACCACCTGCCTGATTATTTTTTACGTATAAATACATGCTTACAGATATTTATATAAAACAACTTTTGCGAAGATTAAGGCTGTTAAGCTCTCTGCAGCTAATTCAACTTTAATGTGATAGAAGAGGATAAATATGTAAAGGTAAGCTTAGTGAAATGACTTAGTGTTTAAAAATCGTCATGATAATTTGTGTATTATTTTCATACATGATGTAATCTCACAGTAATTGTGTATATGTTTCATGTATATGCATAATCAATACTGCTAACGTATTCTTGTGCATTACTCCAACATGCAGGTTGTATAACGTATTAACTGTTAATCCAATAAATCTTTTGATTCACCACTTGTTACGACTAAGGGAATTTCACCTATCATCACTAAATCTGAACAATAAAAAACCTAAGAGTAGGCGTCATATAGTGTTGAGTTGTATATTACATGTATGAGGTATTTAATGGTCATACACTAACCCAATATTTATAAAATAAATTATTTAGGGGTGTTTGACTTGCAATCTGAGGATCGTGGGTTTGAATCTCCGTCCCATCAAACATGCTCTCCATTTCAACCATAGGGGCTTTTGAATTTGATGGTCAATCCCACTATTTGTTGGTAAAAGAGTAGCCCCAGTGGATGGTGATGACTAGCTGCCTTCCCTCTAGTCTTTCACTACTAAATTAGGGACAGCTAGAGCAGATAGCCCTTGTGTAGCTTTGCAAGAAATTCAAAACAAACAGTATCATTCAGTTTACCATTTCTCACCAGGTTATGCTTCTTTTAGAGATTTATAGCTCTCGTAGAATAAGAAAGATTTTTCCTATGCATTTATTTATATTATATATATACATACATACAGTAATTTACGTCTTACTTTGACGTTATTTTGGAATACTTTTTGTTTAAAATTTTGTATTTGTGTGTGAGTTGATTTTATAATGATTTTGAATTATAAATTGTTAGAGGTCAG